TCCGTCATGGAATGCAAAAAGCTTGGTTTAGGGGTTTAGGGTTTAGGGTTTAGGGTCTCATCAGATCTAAGCCTCATGCCTCCACATCTTCATCATGCGTCCCAGAACCCGAAACCCTGAAGCAGACAACCCTAAACCCTAAACCCTAAAACCCTAAAAACCCTAAACCCTCAACCCTTCATCTTAAACCCGAAACCCGAAGCAGACAACTCTGGTGCCGTCACTGACCAAGATGAGAAAAGTAGGATTGTAGATACCATGCCTGTGTCTACAACTACATGAAGCTATTGTTCTACACGTTTCATCCATGGACACTAGACCCTAAACCCTAAAATCTGAGCCCTCAAGCTTAAACCCTGCATTGAGACCCTATAAACCCCTGAAGTCTCCGGCCTACATGCGGCTTTTTTTCCCCTTAACCTGAGGCCGTGGAAGCGTTCTGCTCCCCACTGTGGGCTGATCAGCACGGACATCTCAAGGCTCGAACAGAGACTACTAAATCACTCCCCGCTGGTGCAGAGTGTGTTTTCCAAAACCTTCCGGGCCGTGCTGACATGAGCATGCCCTTGATCCCGGAGCTTTCAACACCCTAAACCCTAAACCGTAAACCCTAAACCCTAAATCCCTAAGCCCTAAACCCTAAACCCTAAGCTAGTATTGCTTTCAACTCCAAGCCCTCAGCTAGCAGGTCTGAAGTTCCCAAACGTTCTCAGGGCTTCCGCCAAAGCCCTATTCAGCTTGAGCCCAATGACTCAAAGAAGGGTTTAGGGTTTAGGGTCTAGGGTTCAGGGTTTAGGGTTTAGGGTTGATGATGCTGCTTGAGCGGCCGGAGAGGCTGCAGGTGTAATAATAAGGTTAAGGGCTTAGGTGTGCGGGTGTTTGGGGTTTGGGGGTTTGTGGCTTTCGAGAGAAGCATTGTAGGGGTTAGTGAAGTTTAGTGTTTTTGCCCTTTAAGCTTACTGGGAGGTTGGGTCGGGTTGTTGGGGGCTTAGGGTTTTGCAATTTACCATTAGAGGTTGTTGAGCGTAAGTTTTGTGGGTTTGAGCTATCATGCCTTTCTGACCTAAACCCTAAACCCTAAACCCTAAACCCTACACCCTAGACCCTAGACCCTAAACCCCAACCCTAAACCCAAATCCCAAAAACTGAAGTTTGAAACCCTCAACATGCCCCTCAAACGTCCGCAAAGTGAACCTCGGGCTTCAACACCGGTGCTGCTGGAAAGTGGTGAACCCCAAACCCGAAGTCCTAAACAGTACAAGAAGCTTTACGAGAGACCTTGCAGTTTTAGCCTCAACTCTACGCCTTCTGGTTAGGGTTAGGGTTTAGAGTTTAGGGTTTAGAGTTTAAGGTTGAGAGTTTAGGGTTTAGGGTTTAGGGTTTAGGGAAAAATTGAAGTCCTCAGCCCTGGCCCCTGAAACCCGTAAGCCCCGATGCCGGCCTTGGTTTAGGCTTTAGGCTTTAGGGTTTAGGGTTTAGGGTTTAGGGTGATATATATATATATACACATAGATAGTGGGGCTTGCGGTTTAGGTGAGCTTTCGAAAGCCCAACTTCGGGGTACATCTCAGCCCACCTGAAGCTACTGCAGCCTGCCTTTTTTCGGGTCTTGCCATCGTCATAGGCCCGAATGTCGAGTTTAGATGGTCCCAACCAAAAGGCAGGTGTTGGTAGGCTAAGGTAGAGCGGATGGACTATTCAGGATTCGATGGGTCTTATCTTCAAGGTACCCTGGATCGTCAACTCCTAAAGCTTCAGCCCTACGTCACAAGACCCTCACTATCCCAAAAAATACACCCTTAAAGTTCCAAATCTTCACCTTCCTCAGAGAGCCAACTCCTTCAAGACTATACGAACCAAATCCTGAGTTTTTAAGATCCAAACCTCCGCCCAAAGAACCCAAAGAGCCCTCAACCCCAAACCTTAAACCCTAATCCCTAAACCTTAATCTCTAAACCCTAAACCTAAACCTTGAAACCTAAACCCAAACCCGAAAAGAAAAGTTGTTGGGAGGCCGGTCCACGGGCCTTGAGCATGGAAAAGATGCCTCTCTGGCACATCTTGACCCGCCTCTTGGGTTTGTAAGGGTTTGGGTTTAGGGTTTAGGGTTTGGGTTTAGGGTTTAGGGTTTAGGGTTGGGTTTGTAAGGGTTTAGGGTTTGGGGTTGGGTTTGTCAGGGTTTAGGGTTTAGGGTTGGGCTTGCAAGGGTTTAGGGTTTAGGGTTGGGTTTGTAAGGGTTTGGGGTTTAGGGTTGGGTTTGTAAGGGT